ATAAAAACATTTTCCTCTTGATTATAACAATTTAATTTAAGATCAATAAAATAAATTAAAACAATTTATATGATATAAAAATGGGACAAGGTCTGTTTGATTCACAAATAATTCAATGCTGTATTAGATAAATGTTTAAAAAAAAAGAAAAGGTATAAAAAATATACAATGCCTAATTGATACAACGTTTTTACATAAATATAATTTGAAATACACATTCCAATCTAATTTAATTTCTCAAAAACAATAAAAATAATTTATCTGTACAGATCGTAGCTCATAAAAAACTAAACACATATATAAATTTTTCTCTTAATATATTTTTATGTATTTCGTAACACTTATTCCTAAGTTCCATTATTTTAATATTTTCTTTCTTTGTATGTACAACAGTATCGGTGAGCATAAACCACACATCTACTTTTTTTTGTTTCTTTTAATTTGTTTATATTTTTTATAAGGTAAAAAGGTAAAGGGCTAGACTTCTTGGGGAAGGGATGCTAGGAAATATGACGTTATGCGATGCATAATATATAAAGGTGTATTGTGAATAGAATATTTATCTTACACAGCATTGCTCTGACAGAATTAGATGTATATTAGTTTTAGCAATTCTTAACTGAGAATTCAATACAAAAATACAAATTACAAAGGTAATAGTATTAGATATTTTAATTAGGAAATAGGAAAATTGGAAACAGTCATTAGTGTCATTCCTGTCATCTCCTGACGACAAGTATGGCCGCCTAGACAAGGACAGCAATGTTTCTCTCTAACTATTGTCTAACTTCACAGTTTAGAATTGACAGATTTCAGAGACAACTTCAGATTTGTTCTAGAATAAATTTCGACGCCATTTTAATTCTCTCCGTTTAGTTTTGTTTATATTTTGTTTTGTAAATTCAATTTGATATTTCGGCAGAAATTTATAAATATAAAGGTAATAAAGTATATAAAATATATATTACATGAAAAATCCTGGAGTAAAAGACGTTCTGCAGTACTAGGTATGTCCCATGTATATTAAAAATAGGTAGTAAATAAACACTATTTCTGTATTTTTTAGATGCAAGAAAATGTTGTTATGTTTATGATCGGCGATTTTTTTGCAAATGGAAACAATTTACAGCAAGGTAAGATCATTTTTAACTATAGTCAACATTAGTTATCTCCAGTATGTGCGATTTATTGTCAATAATGCAATAAATCTGACTGATACAATCCGATTGTTATCCGACTAAAAGTCTCTTTTTGCTTCTTTTTGATTTATAAACTCTTTGGGAATAATGGACGCTTTTTTTAAACAGTATATTTGTATTTTATACCTATTGATATTTTTACATTGTTAATTTTGTATAAAAAAAATTGTTTTTCTGTTTTCAGGTTTTTGTATAAGGCTCCCGTTTTCATGTTCCTGCCCCCGTTTTCTGTCTCTGATGGCTGTGAATACGTGTATTTATTTACAAATTACTGTAAGTCATGCTTATACCTTACTAATTTACGTTAAAATTTAAAATTGCATATAATTAAGTAATTGCTGTTGAAATCATTCAATTCTTTATTTTTTATATATATTTAGTCACGTTGTCTCATATTTCAAATAAATATGTTTGAATAAAATTTTGTTTTGTTTAGTTATGATAAAAAAGAGTACAAAATACATTTAAACTGAAAGAGGGCCCGCCGAATAACCGGAAACGGAAATAAATACGAAGCCATCATGTCAACCTGTCAATTGGAAAATTAGTTCTCTAGACGACAACGAAGGCTTTCGGTGGCGTATCGTGTTTCCACGATTTAACACAGAGTTGACACTTCTTTCTAGTTAATTATTTTATGTTAATAAGATCAATATGGGGCATTTGTTACTGCTTCTTCGGAGAATTTAAAATATCTTTTAGTAGAGGTAAATAGGCCAACAAAGTAAAATTAATATTTTGTTAAATAGTAATATTGTTGGTAATGAACTATAAATTGGTAAAATTGACAAATTACAATTTTTAGTTCAATACTTACTTTGAATAATACAATTAAATGCAAGAAAATGTAAAGTTTGTCAGGTAAAAATCCTGTACAAAAAAATGCGAATCATACGTAGTAAAATTATGAGTTTTTTGTGATCGTGATTAACAATAATAATCTATCATTAGTTTTGTATAATCTGAGATAAGAAGTTCGTATAAATGTATGTCTTAAAATGTTTAGTTTCGGAGATACAGGGTGTAGCAGTTTTATTTTTATTTCGATTTTTTCCAATTAATTTATGAAGTAACGTCAATATTTGGATGAAAATTGGTGGTCTGGGAGTTTTTTGACAGGAGAACTTTGATTTTGATGTCAATTTTTGTAGAGGACGGAGGTTATTACTCTTCAAAAGAGTTAAAACATATACCCCCTACAAATAGGAGTCATATTGACTCCCAGGCACCAATCTTCATCCAAATATTAAGGTTACTTCACAAATTATTTGGAAAAAATCGAAATAAAAATGAAATTTCTATACCCTGTATTTCCGAAACCAAGCATGTTAGGATACATATGAACTTTTTTTACTTATTTTTATCTGCAGAAAATGCTGCCGAAGTTTCAGGAATAAAGTTCGGACCACCCTGTATATCAATATTAATTTATTTTGGAGAGATTTACGTTTAATTAAAATATCGGTATAGAAAAGACGAAGACTGCATAGAGAATTATAATACTACTGATTAACTAAATAAAAACTGTATATTATATTTATATTCACAACAATTTTAACAAACCTCAATGCTGTTATCTAAGTTGTTATCTTTTCTAAGGAAATTTCCTGTGTTTGTGCTCAATTTATCGTAGTTAAATATACCGGATGTATGCAAGAAACATTATGAGGGAAGCTAAATAGGTTAATATGTCTTAAAAGTTTTAGTTACTGAAATTTATTAGTTAGTTTTTTGCTATATCCATAGAAATTATTCTCAGAGAGGCTCTGTATAAATAATAAGTTAATGATAGTTAAAATTGATTATACCGGGCACCTTAAAATTTTGATGTATTTTATCTTAAGTTTAATATATTTTGTTCTAGTTGGCCAATTTTGATGATATTTTAAGCAATTTGTAGCTGAATTATTTGACTTTTTAGTATCGCTTTCTATATTAAAATGAAAGTTGCCATCTGTCAATTATACGAGGGGAAACAAAATGTTGATATTTTGGTGAAAGTTTGCAACACTTGTACTCAATAGTTTGTTATGATTTATTTAACACTGTCTTTGAAAAATCATATATTATTGTTTGTTAGACAGTTACTTTAGCAGATATGGGGTTTTAAGTTCCAAAGGTAAAATATCTGCCATGATCATGGGCGCCGGAAGAATGAAATTTAGGGGGGGGGGCAAGGTAAAAATGAATAAAAAATTGACATTTTTGGTAATTATTGGGAAAACTGTAAATCGTCTGATTTTCACCAAAATTGGTATACACCCTATTTTGAAGTCGTAGATTACGAATCTGAACTTTTTTTATTGGCGGTCTCTTACCGTTTTTCAGAAAAACGGAAAATAATTTCAATATCGAATTTTTCTTAATTTCTCATATTTTTAAGGTTTTCTAGCACATATTTTGTTAGGTATTCAATAATCAATAATGTTTTTGCTATTTTCTGTTACTTTTTTAACCAATTCTATGCATAATAGAGGAAAATTTGCATAAATAAATTTGTAAACAATCTGAAAATGTTAGATTATAGCTTTGTTCGGGTTCTTGTTATTACCGATTCTGAACCGTCCAAGAACTCTGCAGCGCATGCGCAAATGAAATAATATCTTCATATTTCCTTCTGCGCATACGCATCACAGTTCTAGGACGGTTCAGAATCGGTAATAAGAGAAACCCGAAGTAAGTTTATGTGTTTCTGGCATTTAAAGCAACGTTGCCAATGCTAAACCTAAATTTAGCGTGTTTTTTTCGCTCATTCTGGAATTACGAAAGGCGGTCGCCAGAAGAACGGCTCCTTCCCATAACTGCTATTTTACCAACGAGATCTGACTATTTATACCCACGAAGTTGCACGAAAGAGTTTTGATTGCATTGGTTACAACTTCCATGCAGAGGGTGTTAATCTTTTGTTGTTATATTATTAGATTAACTAAAAAAAGATTAACCCCCTCCGCAAAGAAGTTAAAACCAATGCAATCAAAACTCTTCCGCGTAATTTTGTGGATATAGGTGTATATTTAATTATTGTCGATCTCATAATAGGTAATTTATTTAAAATCCCTAATCACCCGAAAAAATAGAAGATATGGCAACGTTGTAAATTTTCAAATTTCTAGATTAGGTCTAGAATATATTTGTCTCTCTTATTACATAGGAGAGAGAAAGAAGGATATATCAAATGTCAAACTTCCATCTGGTCTCAATTTTCTTTGCTATTTTGTTAAGAAAAGTGTTTTTCAGTAAAATGTTGGACACTTTTCTATCCCCAATCAAGTGTGGCTTTTAGATAAACTATAATATAATGAAAATATAGTGAAATTATTACTTTATAGAGCCGAAATAAAGAAAAATGCAATGTTGAAATAATTTTCCGTTTTTCTGAAAAACGGTAAGAGACCGCCAAGAAAAAAATAGATTCGTAATCTACGACCTCAAAATAGTGTGTATACCAATTTTGGTGAAAATCAGACGATTTCCAGTTTTCCCAATAATTACCACATTTTTTATTATTTGACAGTAAGTAACACCTAACAATTTCATAATAATGATTATTTTTTTTACAGATGGATGTAAGAAGATAGCTTTTATTTTTATTGTTTCAGTAATCCAGGGGGGGGGGGCAAATGCCCCCTCTTGCCACCCCTGTCCGGCGCCCATGGCCATGATCAATTAAAGCAGAAATAGCCTATACTTCGGAACTTAAAAACATCTCTACTAGAGTAAACCTCAATAAATAATAATAATATGAATTTTCAATAAGAGTGTCATTACAAAAACAATAAACACTATTTTATAAGTCAAAATCAATGCTAAAATTGCTGTAAATCGTTACTGTCTTAGTTTTGTGAAAATTGTTTGTTTGTGTCTTGGTTTTTTGAAACAGCCTCAAGAAACAATCTAACGAATTATTTGGTTGAATTGCCTTTGTAATTAATTGTGGAAATGTTAAAATTTCGTACATTTTGTTCTAAATTGGTAGTCGGCCAAAAAATATAGGCTGCATTAATGTTGACGATACCAATCTTAAAACAAAATTTCCTTCAAACTAATGCACTAATTTCCTGCAATAAACGAAGGAAGTATACATCGTATTCTGTCAGATAATAGACGAATGTAGTTATTCCGTTAAACACGACAACATAATGGACACAGTACGGTATGAAGTTCTAGGCGGCACGAAACCATACGACGTTTTCATGGAAGGAAAAAGTTCGACAGTGTAAAAGTCACGACATTGGTTTTTATTCTCTTTGTTTATTCTTGCTTTATTAGTGCGAACGGGTTGGATTTCTTGGGCGTTTAACTGTACGCCAGCAGAACGTAAGCGATGAATGCCAGCACGCCTAGGGAGGGCCCCATCCGTTGGTTGCCGCCATGTTGCATTGCTTCGGGATGTTCACCTAGCAACAAAAAAAGGAGTTAAAAATATATGTATCAAGAAAAAATCAAATATCAAGGAAAATTGTATAGAAATATACATAAAAATAATTAAAAAAGTTTGTATAATTGTATGTTCTAAAATGAACGATTAATTTAGGAAAATAAAAAGTTCCCAAACTTTAATTTCAGTGAAATAACGATCTACTCAACGCAGACAAAATTATGATTAATTTAAAAAAAATACAAATTTGCCAAATTTATTATTTCTACTCAACATGTTTATTTTTTGTCAATAATGACATGTATTGACTATTACCATTCTAAATATCTTGAGAACGGTTTCTCGTAGAGATTTTTACCAAGAGACATTTTTTACGTATAAAATCATGGAAATGTATGTTTTTTTTCACTCAGTAGTTTTATACAGGTACGGACGAAAGGTTATTACTGTTCAACCCTCTACAAGTAGGAGTCATACTGACATCAAAATCAGATTTTTCATCTCAAAAAACTCACAGACATCAATTTTCATCCAAATATTGACGTTACTTCAGAAAAAATCGAAATGAAAATGAAATTTCTACACCCTGTATCTCCGAAACTAAGCATTTTAGGACATACACGAAGATACGAACTTTTTTACCTATTTTTATCTGCAGAATATGCTGCCGCAGTTTCCGGAATACAGTTTGGACCACCCTGTATAGTGTCCACAAAAAATTCTGCATCCAATGGTATTTTTTAGAGAGATGAAAAACAAATAAAGTTTTACCACAATAGTTGTTATACTTGGACTAGATAGTTTATAAGTAACTAAAGCTCTAAGCTAACTAAAAGTTACTGTTTGATCCAGCTTGAAACAACAATTATTGTGTGTTGAGTATAGTAATTGTTTAAAAAAGTGATTTTAGTTCGGATCTATTTCCGATGTATTTTGAATATTTTTATAAAGGAAATTCCTTGTGATTCCAAAGTCCAATAATGTTAGTTTGTAAGGCCTTTGTAGGGATGTTGTTTTGTTAATCAACTCATTCAAACTGTTCTGATGACGGAAACAAATTTCTCGAAAGCTGAACAAATTGAAAAGTAGTTTTATTATCCTATGTGGTGATTATTGACTGTTTCCTCACTAAAATTAGTAGCTTTTTCTTAACTAACTAACAAAACCGCGTAGTTTTGTCATAAATATTTTAGATCAACCATGAGTACTCAGAATTGATCGTTACCTAGTTAACTGTTAACCAATTATGAAAAAGTTCGGAGTACCCAACAAATCTCTTACAGTGTGTAAGAAACAACAAGTCAAGAGTGTCACATCATGGATCACTGAGCGATCCCTTTCTAACAAATACAGAAGTTAGGCAGGGATGCGTTTTAGCGCCTATCCTATTCAACATATTCATGCCAGCGCTCTCCATTATAGTGGACAGCAAACTGCATGAAAGAGGATTGGGCATTAGATACAGATACGACAGCGGCGGCGGTCTGTTCAACATAAAAAGACTCATGGCAAAAACACGTACAAAACTCACCAGAGAACTTCAATACGCTGATGACTGCGATCTAGTTGCAAAAACGTTACATCAATTATGTGACAAATCTTTTCGGATTAATCACTTGTCTATGGGTAGCGTGACTATTTTATAATTATAAAAAACAACTAAGTTGAGCGGAAGGCAAACTTGGATAAAAAGTACACCGACTCTTTGGAGCGTATGTTTAATGCTTTGTCTTAGTGCTGTTAGTCTCTCAAATCTATTATAACTTACCTTAATTGCGGCCCGACCTCTGTCTGTAAATCTGTAGCTCATTTCTCGAGACTTTTCCGGACTGCTCTGGAGATATTCTGCCCGTTCATAAGGATCTTATTTATATACTTTTAAAACACTCTTATTTTTTACTATCTAAATAAAACGGCCGAGTTTTTAGAAAACATTTAAATTTAATATTAAAAAGAAAATAAAGAACAAATAAAAAAATATATATGTATATGATCGAAATTACTTGTTATTACTAAAAATGGAAAATAGATGGAAAAATACAAGAAAGTCTGGTGTCTGCTTTGTTGAAAAATCTGATAATTATATAATCAATTGAACCTTCATTACTAAATATTACTACAACACATTAAAATATTTTAGAAGAAAATTAAAAACATTTGACAAAAGGACATAAAAAAAATACTATTAGCAGATACCAGACTTAAAAACTTCAGGGGGTCACATCGTGAACCTTACCGAGTTTCGCGAACCCGAGAGAGAACCGTCTCTTTTAGAAACTTAAACCGAACTAACTTTTCTGCCTAAAAACAGCCCCGAGGTTCCAACATTACAGGGTTGAAGGGTGGTGCATTCGGTACTTCGCCAATAGGATCATCCCTAAAGGTACTGTTCTTTGCTTGATTGGTCAGCTTGACACCGCCCTTCAAACCAAATTGGTTCGACCTCCCGTTGTTAGATGGCAGTACTATGACCATTTTACGTATTTCATCCTAGTTTACGTCTAGATACGTGCTTTCCTAAAGTTCCCAGATCCTTTACAAACATCCGGCGATTGTTACATGCCATCAAGGGTGGTTATTGGTTTTACAATGTCCCAGCGTTTTTATCTAAGGTCTATCTTTACAATTTTCTGTTTACTTCTAAGTTCTACAGTTTATTTGCTTTGCCCTTCTATAAGTTTGGGAATTTAAAAATAGTCACGTTTGAAAGATGTTTGTTTTATTACTTCCTGCTAAAAGACCCTCTCCCGAAACTAATAACCGAAAACATCGACTTGAACGTAAAGGACATAGGAAATAATCTGTTAATCATATAAATAATAATATAAAGGAAATAATCTGTTACAATTACAAGAAATGCTGATTACATATACCTGGGCATACGAGCCTTTGGACTTTGAGCTGAACATCGATAAAACTAAAATCATGTGCACTCCCCCGGAAGATCACAACAATGTTATAAAAATCGGAGAAGAACTATTGAAATATGTAGCGGAATTCAATTATCTCGGCAGTTTGATTTTGGAAAAGGTCAATATCGACTCTGAAATTCAGCACAGGATTAGCAGCGCCTCAAGAGCATAAATTAAAAGACAGGGTTTTCTACAATCATGACTTGAGCACAAAAACAAAACTTGCTGTTTACCGAGCAATAATAAGAGACACCTAAGACAACTCTTGAGAATCAAATGGTTCTACCATGTCTCAAACGTATTGATCCTTGAAAAAGCTAACTTGGAGAGCGTTGAAGTCATGATTACAAAATCCTGTCTAAGATGGGCAAAATCCTGTCTAAGATGCTTTACAGTGAGCTTGTAAGGTGTAGCTGGTAAGAGGAAACCGGGTGGACGATTCAAAAGGTACAAGGATATTTTCCACGAAAACTTAAAGGGGATAAACATGCATAATGAGTGGGAAGAAGCAGCGCACAATGGAACGCAATGGAGAAGAATCGCTAACTCAGTTAACAATAAAGTAAAGAGGCAACAAAGCAATGAGCTTTTTGAATGTCCGGAGTGCGGAAGAGAGATAACATCACGTATCGGGCTTTTTAGTTACAGAAAGGCTCATGAAAGAAAATGCCTTACGTAACTATCTTCTGATGCGTATGAATTACTCGTCAGCGAGTAATGGTAGTATGTATGTATGTATGTTGTTGGAAATAATAAAAGAATATCCAATTAATCAAGGAAATTTTCCAAGAAAGTGGAACTTTACGGATATTTTATAGTTAAAGTTTAGAATATTTTCTAGTAGTGGGAACTATCGAATGAATACTATCGAAACATTCGATAGTTGCAATTCATTCGAATAATTCGATAGTTAGTAAGAAAACATTCGTTGAAAACTATTCGAATAAAAATTATCGAATAGATCCGTCATCTGCCTTGAAATATTGTATTCTAGTAATTCGGCAGCAAAAACCATTCATTTATAAAATTCATTCATTTATAAAATTCATTCATTTATAAAATTCATTTATTTATTAAATTCATTCATTTATAAAATTCATTCATTTATAAAATTCATTCATTTATAAAATTCATTCATTTATTCGTCAGGATCGATTATAATAAAATATTAACTGAATTTTAGTTGTCGCCCGGCGACGTAGGTTTTTTTCCGAGAAAGCGGTCGGTGGCAATGCTATGAAAGAAGCCGGCATCTTTGATTTTTTGCGGAGTCATATATAGATAAGGACACATTATTTTTTTTATTGAGGTGCTAGTATTTACACAGAAAATACATTATGAAGGGCGCTGTTACCATATTTTTGTATTAGTTGATATTAGCAAAGAATATTATTGTTTGGCTTTAGTTAGTTAGGGATAGTATGTCTATATATTCTGCATTTTTTTATTAATATTCTGTTGTTACACTGCAATAATACTTGTTATTTTGGATGTAGGAAAATTATTTTTAATGTTTTTAAGCAAAGACTGGTTTAATAAATAATAATAACAGTAATAATTTGTTATACCTATTAACAACAAAATTTAAAATCATTTAATATAAAAATTTAATTAGTTAGTTTATTAAGTTAAATATAAACAAAAATTAGATGTCAAAATTATTTATATTAGATCCTATTTAAAAATAATATAGTCACTAATTTTTTTGGCAACGTTGGTTTATTAAATAATAATAATTACAGAACTAATTTGTTATATTAACAACAAATTTTAAAATCATGAAATATAAACATTTATTAATTTTCTAAGCATGCATTACTTATATTAGGTGCTTTATATTACTATTTAAAAATTATATTTACTTTTACTGTCATTTACTTTAAAAAATAAATGAAATATTTTTTCTTCGCAAAAAACTACATGTAAGAGAATTAGCATAAACAAAATATAAACATCGTTAACTTTTTTTTTTGAATTGGCACGTGTAAAACTTTCATTTTAATTTTCTCACCCCATAGTTTGAGTTCGATAACCATTTACTTAAATATGATTATACAACCACATTACTTAAATATGATTATTAAGTTCAACTAATTCATATTATTAA